CATTGTACCCGCCCTCTGCTGATGGACCTGATGGGGAACTGCAGCAGAGGGCGGGTACAATGCTAGTTTACTATTGGCTATTGCAAATTCAAATAGCCAATAGTAATGTCCCAATGCTTTTCAATGGGAAAAATCCGCTTCCAGCTGTCGTGCAGGGGCACAAGATGTACGGAGCTCCAGCGGCCGGATCGTGCCGAGGAGCCACGATCAACGGGCATCCTCTTGTAGCCCACAGGATCCTCTATCCAACGAGCCTTAGGGCTCCGCGCTGGGACCTACCACCGCGGAGCAGCACGCTTTCCCGCAGAGCCGAGAAAAGCCCACCGGCCGATTTCATGCTACAGCTCCCATATTTTACAGGCACTACCCCTGTGCCAAGTTTCAGCCCCAGGGGACCAATGGCCGCTGAGCGGTGGACCCCCAGAGTCGGCCTACTCGCTCCCATTCACAGGACCGCACGACGAGCTGGCCAAGAACACTTAAGTCGAGCCCGAGATCCACGACCACCCTCGGACATGTTCCCCATCCCTCACCCGCTCTATGCAAATTGGCATTTCACCTTGCAGGACGAGCTAGCCGGGGAAGCAGAGAGGGGACCCGACTTTGACCCACCGCTGCTCCCCGGGTAAAGGGGCTAGGGACACGCAATTTGGGGTGGCAATAGGGAAGACCTGGGGCTACTGTGCCAAGTTTCAGCCCCTGGGGACCAATGGCCGCTGAGCGGCGGACCCCCAAAGTTGGCTAACCGCTCCCATTCATGCATCCTCAAAACCTTCTTTAGATATGTGTCCAGTGTGACCTAAATCATTCTCTTCAGTCACTGATCTATCATTGGATCCCGGTCTAACAAGGTACACATGTATGGGAAGGGCGCCTGCCTGTCCTGCCTGCACATCGCCTGGCCATGTCCTGCACTGCACAGGACCAGCCGTAGTAAACCAACAGCTCAGTCTTGTGGATTACATAGGGAGAGGGACTTTGTTTATCCGTGATTATCCGACATTCCAGGAAATATTTTTGTTTAAAGTTCAGTATCTCTTTGATGTCTATAAATAGATTTCTCATTCATCCATTAAGGCCTCATTCACTCTTGAGCTTAGGGTCTTTTGGCATTTTTGGAGCATTTGTGTGGGTGTTTTTGTGCATGTTTTAGGCTTGAGCATTTTTCAATTCTTAGTTATTAGGCCAAAAAAAAAGCATGAGAAATGTGTTTTTCAAGCACTTGTATTGAAATCTATAGGAGCCAAAATGCTCAACTCTTCTCCTAAAGAAGCTCATGTACTTTTTTGAACAACAGGCGTTTTCCTACAAGATGTGAACAGGAGCCATTGAAAACAATGGGATTCCTCATGTTGAGCATTACAGTGCTTATGAAATCGAGCTACAAAACGCTCAGGTGTGAATGGGGCCTTGAAACATATTCAAGTGTTTACAAAAATGAACACAGGTCAATGGACTGCCAACATTGCTAATTCACTGGATTTAAATATAGTAGTGGGGCAATTCCACATTCTTGATGTCGCTGGAGTTCAGATTTTAATTCTTAACAAGGGCTTAGTTATACTTAAGTAAAAATAATATCCCATCTTATAAAAGCCACCTTCTATACAAACAGCTTCCCCAACCCCATCACAAGGTCACAGTATAACTTAGATCACTTACCTGTACTATTTCCAGCATCTCTGCTTTGCTGATATAACCGTTGCCATCCAAGTCATACATACTGAACGCCCACTTCAGCTTTTGCTCCAGCTTTCCCCGGGATGTTACGCTCAGTGCTATAATAAATTCTCTAAAGTCAATTGTCCCATCGCCATTAGCATCGAAAGTGCGGAATACATGTTCTGCAAATTTTGAAGCGTCCCCATAAGGGAAAAAATTCCCATAAATTTTCTTAAACTCCTCCATTGTTAAATGCCCGCTGGGACAGTCTCTCAAGAAGCCTTTGTACCACTCCTGGATCTCATGCTCTGTAAAGTCCGTGCTTTCTAGTAAATCATGCATGACCTCAGGACGTAGCTTACTGTTCTGTTTCCCCATGATTGTGTGCGACTTTCTCAACTAAAGATGAAAAGAAAAGAAATGTAAATTAATTTCGTACTCTACATCCATATGTGTGACTTTCTGTATATAATACATCTATTTATATCACATATATACACCTAGCATTTGCAAAATAACATACAACATAAAATTACTCCATGTAAGATTATAACACCCTCATGGGACGGTGATTGGGATGCACGTTACCAGGGGAAGGAGGGGGCGCATGGTGGTTGGTGCTAGTGATTCATGTTACAGGGGGGTGTGGGGGGTGCTACTGATGCACGTTTCGGGGCGGGTGTGTGGGGTGTGTCAGAGGTGCATGCAACCTCCGACCAGAGTCCTGTCCAGCTCACTGACTGCCAGGAGCTGGCGATTGCTAAGAGCTCCCACCCATGAAAGAGACGGGAGAGCCCTGGTCGTGCTGGTCCAATATCTTCAATACTCTTCAATATCTTCTAGGGATGCACCAATTAGCCGGGAAGCCGGGCGGCAAGTCATTACATGCCGCTTGGCTTATCGGGAAACTCGCCGCACGGCTTCCTTAATGGGACTTCTAGTATTGGTATTTAGTATCACTGAGTACCAGGTGACGAGGAAGCATGGAGTTGGCTTTCTGGCCAATTAGGAAGCAGGAGGGGGGGGGGCAGGTAATCACTTGCCACCCGGCTTTCTGATTGGACAGCTTTCCAACCAATCAGGAAGCCGGGCAGCATGTCATTACGCGTTGCTCGGCTTCCTGATTGGCCGGGAAGCGGACTCCATGCTCCCTCATCACCAAGTGACGAGGGAGCATAGAGTCGGCTTCCCGGCCAATCAGGAAGCCGGGGGGTGAGTCATTACCCGCCCCCTGGCTTCCTGACTGATTAGGAAGCCAGCTTTATGCTCCCTGTTGACAAGGGAACATGGAACCTGCTTCCCGGCCAATCAGGAAGCCGGGTGGCGTGTAATGACTCGCCGCCCAGCTTCCTGATACTGGAAGTTCCGGTATCGGGATAAGTATCGGAAGCATTTGGGCGAGTATGAGTACTCACCCAAATACTCGGTATCTGCACCGATACCAATACTAGTATCCATATAAATGCATCCCTAATATCTTAAATACGTTTTAAGTCTCCGACACAAAACAAGAATTCACATCAGAAGCTCTGACTTCACTTTGATGCAGTTTTGAAAATTTACTGAGACTTTTATATCTTTATCAGTGATATTCATGACCCTGTAATGATAAGCTCCAACCCAAGGTAACAGATAAAAAATCAGCAACTATTGTATCAATCCTAGGGTGCCCATGGACACTGGTTGACAGTCACCATTTTCCAGACAAATTGGGCAAAAGTCTGATATCTATGGGGGACCCACAAACACCACTGGCATCAGGATGAATAGCAATCAAACAGGTCGGCTTGCTAAGTCATGGTCACTTCCTCCATGTTCTGCTCCACAGACCTAAACAGGAAGGACTGTCAACTGCAGTCGGTCAGATCATATCTATATATTCAACCACAATGTACAGTAGTGTCATTGGCAAGCTTAATGCCTCTTAATTTAGCGATTGTTTGTCCAAGTATCTATAGTCAAAACATTTGGGTAGCACAGGAAATGGTTACAAAGGATTTTTTTTGACTGTCTGTTGTATTGGGGAGACATACCCTTTCTCCCTGTCCAAAAAGAAAAAAACAGAAAGTATAAAGAAATCCCTCAAAAGTGAAGGAAGGTCCCCTCTTAGTGAAGGAAAGCCCCCCTCTTTGTTGTGCTGGGGAGATTTACCCCTTCATCCTGTGTAAAAAGAAACACAGGAAGTATAAAGAAATTTACCAAAGGTGAAGGAAAGTCCCCTGTCTGTGAAGGAAAGTCCCCTGTCTGTGAAGGAAAGTCCCCCTCTGTAGTGTTGAGGAGATTTACCCCTTCTTCGGTGCAAAAAAAAAAGTAAAAATAAAGAAATCTCCCAAAAGTGAAGGAAAGTCCCCCTCTTTGTTGTGTTGGGGAGATTTAACCTTTCTTCCTGTGCAAAAAGAAAGAAATACAGGAAGTATACAGAAATCTCCCCAAACAAATAAAAGTCCCCACTTAGCCATAAGTCAATGAAACCTATCTAAAGACTTCCCCTGTATTTCTATTGTGGTGTGTATCTGGGGAACCCATCCTCACTCTACCCAAAACTAAAAAAAATTTTTTTGGTTAGAGCCTCCCTTTATGCTGTTTACAGACAATAGTCAGTGGTCGGTCTCTGAAAAAGGGCATTGGACTAATTTCTATGTGTCTGCCTACAGAGCAGGGGGAAGGGGGGGGCTGTGGTTGCCAGCTATTGGCAACCACAGCCAATTGGCTGGCAAAATCCAATACAGCCCATCAAATAAATGTATCATATTTAGCAAATTGCATATGCAAAAGGTGAATCACATCAAGCTTTGATAATGTAAACAAGTATTACGTCAAAGAAAAGCACAAATAAGTCAGCTAATAATACATCTCAGGAATGTAACTCTCACTATCTCTTTACATAAATTGTCACTTCCTCTCCCACGCTTAGTATATAATATATTCTGTCCAAACATTTCATTTTTCTTAGCACCCGGATTGGCTGTGATAATAAGTATCTTACAGTGAAAATTGTCAATTCCAAAATCTGTTACAGAGGCAGTGAAAACAAAAATGCAAAAAATGTAATAGCGGTTTGGAATTTAAGGGGAAGCTGTCCTATAGCCTGTAGAGAGCTAACAATAAACTGTACAGGTTGGGTACAAGGTGAAATGCGGAGTATAGTTGCTATAACATAAATTTATGTCAGCAAAATCAAGCTACACAATCAAGTTATACAAGGTATTCACAGCATTGTAGCAAATCACTGCAGTCAACCTGGAGATAGCAGCTTCCAGAATGCCACCATGTGGCTGTAATTGGTAAATATGAGAAATATTTACATACATTTTGACCAAAATTTTTATGGATTCCCCTCATGTGCACTTTTGCCCAGACTATGCACACAGTATTTACCTATTCTGAAAAAGCAATTAAAAACATGTTAACCTAAAACCCTGACTAACCTCTAAAACCATAGCAATTGTGGACAAATTAATCTTCAAAGAGAAACACTGTATTCTATGGAAGTGGGATTTCGGCACCCTGCCAGCCTTCTAATGTAAACACACAGCTTCTAAACTGTTAGAAAACAACTGAACCCTGACTTAATAGTCTCTGTTAGGCCTCATTCACACAAGAAAAGGCCGGCGTGCATGGCCGCATCGGGCAGCTCCCGGGAAGGACAGGTGCTGCGTGTGATTAGTACGTAGCCCCTGTCCTTCTCTATGGGAATACGCGGCCGTATGCCGCCCTACGATCACCCGCCCTGCACATCCGTACGGGTGCTGGTGTCTGTACTCAAACGCTGACAGGAAGAATCCTGTCTGCGTCCGAGCAGGGACACCCTCACCGACCTGCACTGGAGGTGAGCGTAGGGCGGCGTACGGCTGCGTATTCCCATAGAGAAGGACAGGGGCTACGTACTAATCATACGCAGCACCTTTCCTTCCCGGGAGCTGCCCGATGCGGCCATGCACGCCGGCCTTTTCTCGGCCTTTTGGCTAAGATCAAGTGTAGTATCTGTTCTTATCAGTTTTCGGTGGGGAAAAGAACCGTCCTTGCGGGGGATGGTTACTTAGTACTCGCTGGAGTGAAAGAGCGTGTGGGGCGGCTTCCTGTGAGAGGGGAACCGCTCAGTACATGGCTTTCTGACTGAACGGATGCGAAGCTTGGTCTGGCTCGAGGGTTCGGGGGCGGCAGAAGCCCGTGGTGTTGTGCCCCCTGGGGGTGGCGTCCCAGGGGTGCGCAGAAAGTCACATGGGTATGGGACCCCACTTGACTCACTGTGCACTTGGTCACACACCACCTTGCTTTTTCTGCACGACGCCTCTTGGACAGGCCTTATGGCTAGTCCGGGGCAATATTTTTGCACTCCGGCCCCTAAGGCCTGTCAGCGTGGTGCACTGACACTTTAGTATTATTTATTGCACTCTATGCACGATGCACGAATGGTTTTTTTTGATTGAAACCCACAGATTGCTGAAGGTGCAGGTTCCTTCGGGGCCTATTCCTGATGTAGGGAGGAGGTTCTGTGCCTCTTACGGGGGTCTCTGCCTCCTCCCACCCAGGAAGTGGGTCTCTCTTCGGGAGAGCCCACTTGCCAAGTACTATGGGGGACCTGTTTCGGCAGGTCCCCAGAGGAAAGGTCCACCGGCCTTCGGGTTGGTGGACCATAGTATCTCAACCCCTGTCAGGAGCCTTGCGCCCCGGGGGGTCGGGAAATGGGTCCCTTCTTCGGAAGGACCTTGCACCCTTGTGCACGTTTTTGTGTGCTGTGATTTCACGGTTCACTTTTTTTGTTCACAGGGGGAAGTTTGTTGAGATGCACGTCCACGGGCTTCACAAAAAAAAAAA